CACAGATATCCCCCTAAAATAGCTAAAACTAAAAACTACTTCCAAAAACATTCAGCTTTGATATTAATGAGTTTTTTGGGTTCATTGAGAACATTGTTGTTGTTCAATAATAAAATTATTCCTCAAAAATACAACTTGCCTAATAATTCTGCACTCTCTGTAGAAATGCTCTGCAGGATGGTGTGGCTGCAATAGCAGAACCAGCAGCATATAAATCTAGCCAGACTGACCCACGGCTGACCTAGTCCTGTTTCAGATCAGAGTGCTCTTCTGTGTCCAAATGTAGAGCTAATCGACCGTCTGAAATCCCCCCGTGCCTCATTACAACCTCAGTCAACCCGCAGCCTCCATCTACCCCCTCTTTCTATATATATTTATGTCTCATCATTTTTGTACCACAGTAACTCTGCTCTCCGCTGCTTTCTGTTCACAGTTTGCTGCTTCATGTTTCCTTGTGAAAGACTAGAGGCTATCTAACACACTATTACAAACCAGGATCACAACTTCCTCCATCCTCCCCCCGGCTTGTTTTCTGCCCTCTTGCCCTGCTCCCTCTGAACCTCCTCCGTCAATGTCTTTGGCTGAAATGCTCGATGAATAGCTCCTGTCCTCTTCCCCTGCCTTCAGCCTCCACGTTACCACTGCTCTGCCTTGCTATTGTCATTATTGTCATAGCAACACCAAAAACATCTGAGCTCCCGAAACTAGTTCACAACACTGAGCCAAAAATAGTGTGTGTATGTGTATGTGTGTGTGTCTGTTCGTCTTTCCTGCTCCTTGTTAGGCTTACTGGGCTTGTCAAAAAAACAAAACAAAAAAAACAACACAGTGAAGCATGACTCGAATCCGAATATGGCTCCCAGATTCCAGATAAAGACGGAGCTTTTCTTCCCTTTCGGCAGATGGTAGAGCTAAAGTTTATCAGCTGCTGGTTTGTTTCACATAAAGTCAATTAAATCTGGAAGAAATTCCCATCTCCGTCAATCAAAGCACACCCACTTTTTTGTGAAATAATGACGCCATGCAAAGTTTAACCATGCTACAAATATTTTCCTAGTTACAGTTCTTCAAAGTACATAGAGCTCGGTATAAATTTGGTGCTCTTTAATTTGGTGTAATTTTCCAGCACTCTGGTCTTTCGTAACTTCAAAAGTAGAGACAATGAAATTACATTTTCAGAGCTGAAACACACACTGACACTTTGTTCAAAACTTAAACCAAATTGCTTTTACGTCCACTTTAAACATCACAGTCTCACCAGCTCTGCACATCAATATCATCGGATACATCAGAGCTTCGACAGCCTCAATTTAATGTCTATTATGCAGTGCAGGGGTATCAAAAATATAACTTGTGGGCCCAAACCAGCAACCCAAGTGATCTGCTTTGGCAG